TTTTTTTTTTTTTTTTTTTTTTTTTTTTTTTGTTGTTGTTCTATCTATGTACTGTTGGTGCAATTTGCTTATATGGGTTCTTTTTATTTTTGTGTAATTGTGTTTTTACCCACAGATTTGTTTTAGTATTCGTAAAAGGTGACATAATCCGTGGTTTTGCCTTCTGATGATCGGTAGTTTGTTTCTTCTTTTCCGTTTCATGTCGTTTGGTGTTGCCCAATTTTGGGAAATTTTGAGAAATATTTACAAGATAAGTATGGGAATTTTATTGTAGCTGAAAAAAATGAGCTCAAACCCAATTTCTGTGGTTGTGTTTTCTGATTCTTGTTCTCATTAAGAAACTGTGGTCATAATCATATTCGCCCTATAATTCGTTTTCCATAGTTGTTCTTGCATGAGTTGTTCTTGGCTGCTTAGATTTTTCTAAGCTTATTCTGTTTGTAGGTCCTAACAAAATGGGCCAAGCGCTCTGTTGTATTCAAGTCGACCAATCCACTGTTGCTGTGAAGGAACAGTTTGGTAAGTTTACTGAGGTTCTTGAGCCAGGTTGTCACTGCCTGCCATGGTGTTTTGGGTACAAGTTGGCCGGTAAATTGTCTCTTCGTGTGCAGCAAATTGATGTTCGATGCGAAACGAAAACTAAGGTTTGATTCCTTGCCTCCCAAAAAATAGAAACAAGAATATTGTAAGTCTGTGGTTTTCTATTTTATGTCGAGCCGTTTAACAATCAATGTGTGCAAACGAGATTTTTTATTTGCTAAATTATGTTTTATCGAACAAATTAATGTGTTTTAATAGTCGGGTCGTGTTGATTTATGCCTTCATGCTTAAGAACTGTTAGTGGCTAATTAATTTCTGGTTGTGCTGCATACTTTTCGAGTCGACTGTGAGATTACTAACTAAAAAAGTGGTTTTTGCCATTCTTTCTTGATTTAGGACAATGTGTTTGTGACGGTGGTTGCTTCTATCCAATACCGTGCTGTGGCGGGAAATGCCTCTGATGCATTCTATAAGCTCTCTAACACAAGGGCACAGATTCAGGCATACGTGTTTGATGGTATCACTATATCAGAGATTTTTTAATATTTAAAGGATAAAAATTAATTGCATGATCTTGTGATGTTAGTTAATTGTGTGATTTTTGCTTTTATGGCCATTGAGATATGTTGTGAATCCTGAAATTAATTATTTTATTTCGTTAGTTCCATTTATTGGCAACCTTCATCCTTATCAAGCTTTGATATTTTCTCTCCTTCTTTTCATTTTTTGCTGATGAAATGAAATCACCATTGACATTATTATTGATTGTCAAATGGTATTTTACTGCTAATTTGAATGTCATCGATTATGTGCTGTTCGATACTAAACTGATATTTTTTTTTTTTTAAATACTTCTCTCAGTTATCAGAGCTAGTGTGCCAAGATTGGAGTTGGATTCTGTTTTCGAGCAGAAGAATGAAATAGCCAAAGCTGTGGAGGAAGAGCTCGAGAAGGTGACGGTTCATTTATACCGCATAAATAGACTCATTATTTGCCAATCCTATTGAACCGATTTTGTGCCATTTTGACGTTTTGTAGGCCATGTCTACCTACGGATTCGAAATTGTCCAGACCCTCATTGTGGACATTGAACCTGATGTTCATGTTAAGAGAGCCATGAATGAGATAAATGCTGGTATAACCTGTGGTCCGTTAACTTTTCCATGCACAATCATTTGTAGCACAAAAAAATACAGGCGCAATATGCAAAAAATAAAAGAACTCTGTAAAAAGTTCAACATCCACCTAGAGATTTGTATTTGTTCACAAATTACATGTGATCATATAACTAATCATTTCATGATCCGCACGAAAAAAAGCCGCTAGGTTAAGGGTAGCCGCAAACGAGAAGGCAGAGGCAGAAAAGATTCTTCAGATCAAGAAAGCGGAGGGAGAAGCCGAGTCCAAGTACCTTTCGGGCCTCGGCATAGCCCGACAGAGGCAGGCGATTGTGGATGGGCTCCGAGACAGCGTGCTGGCATTCTCGGAGAATGTGCCTGGGACAACAGCAAAGGATGTGATGGACATGGTTTTGGTGACTCAATATTTCGACACGATGAAGGAGATTGGGGCATCTTCAAAGTCATCGGCTGTTTTTGTCCCGCACGGGCCTGGTGCTGTCAAGGATGTTGCGTCCCAGATTCGTGATGGTCTCCTTCAAGCCGAGACCGTTCATAAGTAGTTTGAGTTTTTATGCATTTTGTGTCGTTGCATGAAGTTGAAACCCGGTGTTAATTTCACGGTGCTTTTCTTGAGACTTGTCTTGGAAGATGAATTGTCTAGCGTGATGAAAATAAGTTTCTATGTGCTGTTTGATTTATGAAAAGAGCCATTCAACATAGTTCTGATTTAGTTGTGTTTGATATTTAGAAACTGTAATTTTCTTTGCTATTGTTTTAGTTTCCTCTGCATTTTGAATCATAAGTCCTAACCTTCTTTGATAAACTGTAATATACTCGTATATAAACACACGGGAATGATTGGTTATGTGTTGACTTGATCCAACCAATGAAATTATTCGAAATGGGGAGATTCAATCTAACAGATTCCATAAAAGTTGCAACAAGCACAAACATGATAGAACAAAATAAAAAACTTGTCAACATAAAAGACTCCCATAACACACCATCATCCAAATTGCAATTACAATACACCAACAAAACCCCAAGAGCAAAAGAACTTCTCTACAAATATGAAGTCTCATAACAGCAAATGGTTTAAATTGAGAGATAAAAAGTCACTCCCTCAAGAAAAAAAAGGTCCTGCCACCAGTACCAGGTTCAAAGCCAAAGTAGCTAGACCAAAAACAAGACGATAAGTGATAACAGCAACAATAACAATAGATTACTCGGGCGAACCAAAAAAAAAAAAAAAGGCGAACAAGACAACTCCGCTCAAAGCAAATCTGCCACGTTCGCTGGGAGCTCCTCAACCACGACATTATAAAACTTCTGAATGTCAAAAAGCATGCGGTCATCGTCCTTGGTCACGAAATTGATCGCCACACCCTTCCTCCCGAACCTACCGCTACGCCCGATTCTGTGCAGGTAGTTCTCAGGCTGAGTCGGGAGATCGTAGTTTATCACAAGCGATACCTGCTGAACATCAATACCACGAGCCAAAAGGTCAGTGGTGATGAGGACCCTCGAAGAACCCGATCGGAATTCGCGCATGATGATGTCACGGGTGTTCTGGTCCATGTCACCATGTGTTGCGGAGACTGTGTGGTCACGCGAGCGCATCTTGTCGGTGAGCCAGTCAACCTTTCGGCGGGTGTTGACAAAGATGACGCTCTGAGTGATGGCGAGGGTTTCGTAAAGGTCGCATAGAGTCTCGAGCTTCCACTCTTCTTTCTCGACGTTCACGTAGAATTGTTTGATGCCCTCGAGAGTGAGCTCGTCACGCTTGACGAGGATGCGAACCGGCTTGTTCATGAACTTGCGGGTGATTTCAAGAGCTTCGGGGGGCATGGTGGCGGAGAATACGCCCACCTGGATTTTTGGGGGAAGAAGCTGGAAGATGTCGTATATCTGAGAGAAAATGGAGAGTTAGGCAGAGTTATTATGGGATAAATGAGGGGAACCATTGCAGTGACTGCTATCTTTTTGTGTAATGAGTGAAGAATATATCAAAACTCGCCAACATCCCTCTAAATTTTTTAATCATTGTTTCTTTGGCTTTTTTCGAAACATCACATATGTACTGAAACTTCAAACCTTCTGTCTGGGATATTCAACTTACACTTTGCGCAATTTAATCCAAGTAAAAATAAATAAAATATCGGAAATATTGAGGCCTGCATTAATAACAGTTGGGGAAATGTGTGTATAATCCCAATAACAGTTTTGCTTTTTTCATAGATGGCTGGATCTGTAACGTAATTATTACTTCGAAAACTATAAATAGTTTTTGTATCGACAGAGATCATGATGGATGCAAAGAACACCATAATTTTAACAATATGCCACACGAAATCACAAAATAAAGAAATCAGAGTGGGATAGGAGAAAAAAAAAGTTAAATGGGAAAACCTGATCCTTGAATCCTCTGGAGAGCATCTCATCAGCTTCATCCAGAACAAACATCTTGATGTAATCAGGGCGCAGGGACTGCCTCCTAAGCATGTCAAAGACACGCCCTGGAGTTCCGACCACTACGTGGACCCCACTGGATAGGATGCGCTGGTCCTCACGGACGCTAGTGCCCCCAACACAAGCATGGACCTTTACCCCGAGATAATCACCAAGGGCCCGCATGACCTTCTCAATTTGCTGGGCAAGCTCGCGGGTGGGTGCAAGGACCAGAGCCTGGCACTCGACCACATTGTAGTCCAGCTGTTGAAGGATACCCGAGCAAAAAGTTGCCGTCTTTCCAGTTCCAGATTGAGCTTGCTGAATTACATCGAGACCCTTGCAGAATGGGACAATCCCTCGTTGCTGAATTGCAGAGGGCTTCTCGAAACCTTAAAAAATGTGAGATATGAGTAATTATTTCTTCTTTAGTGGATTCAAAGGAAGCGAAAATTGAATTAAGAATCAAAATCATTTAAGACGTATGTCAAAAACATGCAGCAAAACAAAGTAGGAATTTTTTTTAAGTTGATTGGTCACATACCATAGGCATAGATGCCCCTCAGAAGATTTTCCTGCAGCCCCATAGCGTCAAAACTGTCATAAACCTCATCATAGCTTGTGAAAAACTCCTCTCCATCAGCTCCAAGACTGACCATAGATATGATTTATTAAAGAAAGTTGACAGTGAGAAGCAATGATAACACACCGCTTCTTAAGTGCTGCTACCAAATTTGCAGAAAATAAATAGGTAAAGCACAAAACAGGGACTTACAGTTCATTCATTTTCGAATCAAATTGGCGAGCATCAAATTGAGAACCTTCGGGCGCTGTTCCAGCCATGTTTGCAAAACTACAAAAACAGGGGTGGAGGAAGCAAATTATGACTATCAAAATGAATATGAAAAAGTGTGAAATCGGCCATCCACAAAAACAGAACCATCACACATGAATGTCACTGGTCATAAAATAATAGCATGAGAATTGTAAGCCAGTAAATCATACATAACCACTCCTGGACAGTCGTAGCTAACAAAAATACCACACAAATCAATGACACAATACACAATGTCCATATTTAAACTATAAAACAGCTTTTTTTTTTAGTTAAAGGTATAAACTTTAGCCCTTCTGCCTACAAGCATTAATACAGCAGCTAATGGCTGATATTAACTGGCATAAAAATAACAACTAAAGCACAAAATTAACCAAATAAAAAAATAAAAATCCTAACAGACCTCAATCGACAAACATCTAATCCGACACCACTTTTGAGCTCAGAAAGCAGTGAAGTACTGAAAGCATAACATGCCGTAAAGCCATATACATACGAACGCACAAAAAAATTTAAACTTAAAGGACCAGCTTTAAGCTCATCTATTCTGCCCACCTTGCAAGTACACTGAACTTGTTGATTTTGAAAGCAAAATCCCATATACATATCAATACACAAAAAGATATAACTTCAAAGGCCCAGGTTTAAGCTCATTTACTCAGTCCGCCTCGCGACTCGCAAGCACAATAAACTTGGGGATTTCGAAAGCAAAATCCCAACAAATATTAACGAAGATTTTGTTGCAAAAACGAGAAAATCAGAAAAATAATTAACCACGTGCCCCGACATAATCAACCAGAACAACGCTATACACAAAAGGATCTCAACTTCCAACTGGAAGACCCAAATCGACTGAAGTCCAGTAGAGGAAGAAAAAAGAACAAACCCCATAACATCTAACATCAAAACAATCAATAAACAAGCTGATTCACCTAATTCCAACCATACACACACGCAAACCACACCTATACAAGAGAAACTCGAGAAAAACTGTGTCTTGATCAAGTTACCTGATAAAAACTCAAGATCTGAAGGAGAATAAGCTGATTGTTAGATCGAGTCGAAGCTCGATTGTTTGCGTCAATGAATTTTTGTCCAAAACTCCTCGGATCTACGCCGCGGAGTTGAGGAGAATGAGTGTAGAAGAGCGATAGATCTGTAGGAGAGTGTAGAGAAATAATCTGCTGTGTTATTAGGGGTTTGGATTGAGAGCCCTTTTTGTCTTCTTCCTGTGATTTACAGTATTGCCCCTGGCAAATCCAGAGATTATGGACGACATCGTTTCGCTTCTGAATTGGGCCGGATAAAATAGGGCTCGTTTTATTTCATTGGG